ATTACCACATAGGTTTACTCATTTCATCTGTTGTATTTGTTCTATGTCCTATACGTTGCACTGTTGGAGGAGCCTGAGACTTAAGTGTTTCATTGCCATATCTACACCGTAGCTAATGTGCAAATGACAATGAAGCCTTGAAACTTGAAACATACATCTTAGACGGCCCCTACACACGGCGGCGTGTGTTGTTGCTTGCCGGCGGGCATGTCTGAAGCTAGACCACCTGAATCTCCCGCCCCGGACACACAAGCAGCGGTTTGATTGGCTTGAGCTTGTACTGGCATATGATTCGATTGGCTGACGCCTCCGTCGAAGCTTCAAAAGTAGAACATTGCTCTACTTTTGCAGCGAGCACCGCGAGAAAAGCTATGCTTTGCTCCCACAATGCAGTGCGGCGAAGCGTGACGTCACCCCATTCAAAGTGAATGGGCAGAAGCGTTGAAGCGTCAACGCACGCCACCGTGTGTAGGGGCCGTAACAAACAGCTCAGCAACATTGCAACGTTTATCCTATCATTAACGGAAAACATAAGAGGGAGGGACCAGAATCCTAAACAGGTTTATTGCGTCTATAAATGTTGCGATAACATATTATGAATCCTATTTATTATTTCCGACCGCAGATTTTGCAGCTTGTCCACACCTATTTGAATAAGATAACGTTTTCAGTCTGAATTTAAACTTCCCTCCCTACATTGGGATGTTTTATCTGAGATACTTTACTGTTTGTATTACAGACTAAATCATCCAGCCCCTTCAGTTAAGTATCGTTGGGCAAGATACTGGACCCCAAATTACCCCCGTAGGCATGTCCAATGATGGATGATCTATGTAGAAGTCTTTGTAAATTGCTTTGGATAAAAGGGTCAGCTAAATGAAATGTAATTTAAAAAAATAAATAAATGTAATCTCCAATATCCAGGTATTGAAATGATGCCTTGTACCAGTCTCATGAACAGTTTGACAGATGCTTACAAAATATACAAGATTGAATATTCTTGATCCTTACCGTCAGATGCAGCTGATTGGTCCAGTGTCCGATGACCTTGTACTCGGCCGTTGACCTATTGTTGATCTGATACTGGAAGATGTCGTAGCGTCCAGGAGCGTCGCCGTTCTCGTTAAACATGACCGGAGTCCCTGCACTTCCTGTAGAAAACACAAAGAAAAGAATACACACCGAGGTGAGACCTTTCTGATTATCATTTGTGTACGTTTCTCTGTTGGCTAGGACAGTAAGTCGTGTGATCACGCTTGTATTTTTAAGCTTGCGACCAGTAGTTTCGTGATGCTAGACTGTTTGTTTCCCACTACCATATCTGTCCAAACTACTTTATCCTTGGTGAAGTGGGCAAACCTACATTTGGCCTACATTTGATCTGAGAGGTAGCTCAATGACTACGGTTGGAAATCCCTAGAGGCTCCAGGATAAAATATGCTGTATCACAATACTGAAGTCATTAAACAATCTTATTACATGGCTTAGTTGAATACTCGATTCTGATTGGTCAATTCAGAACACGTGACACGTTGTTAATCCAGTAGTACAGACCGCTGTCAAGCACTTATTGACCGTTGTTAAGGACGCTCACATCTGTACAAACAAGTCCGTTCGATTTAACTGTATACAGTTTGGCCGAAAAGCAAACTGCATGCAGGTTGCTTTTCTAACTGACAAGACAAGAGCGACAAGAAAACAGCGGAGAAGTAACGGGCAGAAACCCTCCTTTTTACGCAGCGGTCCAGACATAGACATCAGACGGCGACACATATTCAGTGTGCAGTTCCTTTGGCATTAGGGCAGGGATATCTAGATACTTTCCAAGGTTTGACATAATTAATTGTTCTACTTTTAAAGCAAGCAGCGATGTTTTCAAATCTGTAATCAAAGAGGTCCTCTAAAACGCTATTGAAGCAGTTCCTGCCGTTGCTACGTTAGTTCAAACGGTAACAACGGACTATTTTTCTTAGCGGATGCATGTCAATTTAAATAAATACATACAACTATTTTTTAAATCAATAAAATCATTTTCTAAATCCATAAAAGCATTTCAATTAATATTGGGACTCATGTCGTTACTTTGTTGAGAATGTGGCCATGTAATAAGCGGGATAATGTGCAGCAACTTGGTCATTATGGGGAAAAGAACACCTTCATGCCGATCTAGATCCCTCCGCTTCGCGTCCGGCTCCTGATCAGCCTGTCGGTGTTCTTTTCCCCATAATGACCGCGTCGCAGCACATTATCCCTTACTTATTGCAATTTGATGGTTATTTCAATAACGTCTTGAATCATATTTCTGCTTTGCAGCTGCAGTTTGGCCACACTTGTTTCATCTAACGAGGTAACATTCATCACACAACCCTCCTTTGTATTGCACCAAATCGGCATTGCCAAGTGGACACATTTAAAAAGTGCATCTGAGAAACTTGTTTCCTATACAGTCTACAGTCCAATTGAACTGAATTCAATCATGTTCAAATGTAAAGTTTATACAACAGAAGATCCATTCTTGAAGTCCATGCATCAATAAAATATTGCTACACAATGTTGCATCAATCCCACCCTTCTCACTGATTGGCTCCTGGTCTTGTCACTCAAAGTGCTCCTTTGAATGTAGTCTGAAAAACATGTGAAATGCAAAATACACAGCTATGGTGGTGGAAAATGTGTACATGTGTTTAGCTCTAATTTGCTAAATATGTGTGTTGTAGATTACACTGCAGGACGTTTATTTTATTCTCTCATCTGGAGGTGTTTGGGGGTTTGTTATCCTGCTCCAGGACTCTCCAGGAGAACTGAACCATCAAACTGTGTTTAACGGTTGACCTGCTTTGCCATGTTAGACAGCTACTCTTGATTGATTTCCCTTTATTCAGTGAAAAGGCATCTTGACTGAATCTGTTCTAACTGACATTAATCCAAACTGACCGCCGTCCCTGTTGTCTGCACGGTGTGTGGTAACCACATTATTGTATCTCCATGTGTTGTCTTTTTAAGCTGTTCTTTTTCTTTCTGGTTTTTGTGACGATGCAGGTTTTCCTCAGCGTGACTCATCTTATCACAGTTTCCTCGCCAACTCGTCAATAAACCAACCAAACAAACGCCTTGCTGCCATATTGACTTAATCCTGCCAATTTAATATCTCATGCTGTCTGACACTGTTCACATTTAGCCTGCAGATTCATATTATTTGTACAACCAACATCTACAAAGGGATGACTTCAGTTAGATTTAAATGTTCTGGTTGTCAGCGTAAATCATGATGGAAAAGCATTTTAAACTATAATATTCTGAGGTTTCACACACTTTGGTTTCTCACCTGGGATACTGGTTATTCCCTTTAATGATTTACCTGACCATTATTTTAAATAATCCTATTTTTACCAATATTTCCAATTTTCATTACAAAAACTGAGAAATATAATTTTTTTGGATACACATTTTTAATAATTTGAAAGACTAATTTTTTAAAACCCCCAGAAATCTGATTCAAATATAAGCTGTAAGGACATTTTTCTTGTAACAAGGAGCTATTTACTAAATAACATAATACAATATATACAGTTTTTATCCAACCCTGTCACTTTAAACCCTATAAATGACATTCGTAGACAACAATTCCTAATTGTTTGGAGGGAAATGCCCTCTAAAGTGCTTTTTGTACTAAAATTATTAAGATGTCTTTCTTAAATACATTGACACCTTTTCACTTCATGCATCTAGGGGAGATTAGATAGCTAACTGATCGCATCGACACGAAGAGTAAATACATAAAAGAAGCATTCAAGGTGGAATGATATCTGAATGTTTAAAATACTTGAAGAGGTGGTCTGAAACATTTCCTGTATTGTGTCTGTGTCTTCGAGCATCACAAACAAGGCCCCAATTGTTTAAATCCAAAATGTTGAAGCGTTGAAACATTACCAAGAAGACCTGAATGTTCATGTAATCCTAAACTTAACGTTTTGTTTTCAGATGCCGCTTCTTTTTCTAGCAACTGCTGTATTCATGTTATGTTTGTGGTTCAGTACTCCTCACTGCAGGGCAAATTCAACACCGGGGACAGCATAGTCTCAAACTGGAAGCAGATTCGTTTAGCATCTTTGAAGCCGAGAAGAAGAGCAGCAGATTGAAGCTAAAGAGCAGAACAACATGAAAAATATAAGAATGATTTATAATGAAGTGAGTGGGCGCCGGTTTGATTCAATCCTGCCCCGGTTTCCTTTTTCAACGTGAATAAAAGCTTCAGAAATCACATCAGCATGGCGATGAATCACAGAAACTCGCCTTAGGGTGCAGAACCCCCACCCAACCAACACCACCTCGTCCTCCACACCCCCACTTTACTTCACTTCATTTCACTCCAGAGAATCTGTTGATACAGAATTAACGTTGTCGCTTCACATTATTGCCAAACACGGTAATCATCATAACTCTGTGGTGACACATGCTGCAGCTTTGTTATTAAACACAATAACACAAATCTGTTGAACCCATGAAAGAAAGTTATTCTGGGAAAACATGACCGCTGGATGCACCTCTAAGCTCAAACAACACACACTTATAGGGTATTTTAGGCAGAAAAGAATAGGACTGTTAAAGAAATCAAGACTACACGTTACAGTGCAGTGAGATGAAGATGTGTGGATTTACACTGAACAAAAATATAAACGCAACACTTTTGTTTTTTCTCCCATTTTCCATGAGATGAACTCAAAGATCTAAAACATTTTCTATATACACAAAATAACCATTTCTCTCAAATATTGTTCACAAATCTGAAACAATCTGTGATAGTGAGCACTTCTCCTTTGCCGAGATAATCCATCCCACCTCACAGGTGTGGCATATCAAGATGCTGATTAGACAGCATGATTATTGCACAGGTGTGCCTTAGGCTGGCCACAATAAAAGGCCACTCTGAAACGTGCAGTTTTGCTTTATTGGGGGGGTCTGGGGGGGTCCGAAAACCCTAGGGTTAAACCCTAACCCTAACGGCCCGTCTACACTACAGGCATCGAAAAATGCTTTCAACGCTTCGTCCATTCACTTGAATGGGGTGACGTAGAAGATTTGTAATCTTCGCCGAACTGCATTGTGGGGAGCATGGCATGGCTTTGCAAGCATCACGAGCATCTATCGGCATCAAAAGTTGAACAATGTTCAACTTTTGAGGCTCGATGCTTGGCATCAGCCAATCAAATCCCGTTTATGCAAATCCCGCGAGTGCAAGCGCAGCCAATCACACCGCGTGCAAGCTGGGAGAGCCAGACCGCAGTTCATTTCCTCATATTCCAAACGAGATATTACGGTATCAAATCACCCGGTTCTTTACGACCAGAACTATTTACCGGGATACAAACCGGAGGAACCAGGATGGAGGGAGGTGGCAGAGACATTGGGTGAAATTGA